CTCCTCTGGAAAAGCATAGAGGAGAGTAGTGAGTCGGCGTCGCCCGGGCAACGGCTCTGCCACCTTATTGGATATGTTGAGCAATTTATTTTATTTTTCCCTATTCCTTGCGGGAGGGGAGTGCGCGGGAGGAAGAGAGCGAACGAGCGAGTAGAGGAAAGAGGATGCCGAAGGAGAGGCAGAGGCGCACCCTCTTCCACTTACCTGCTACCCTCCGCACACGTCGACGCCATTTTCCAATATCGCGTCAAGCGAGCGCTCCCGTTCTCGTTCAACCCCTACCCATCTTTCTCTCGTTTCGTCTCGCTCCTTCGTTCTTTTCTCGTGAAGGAAGAGAAAATGGAAGCGAGAGGCACGAGAGAAACGAGAAAAAGGGAAGAAAGGAGTCTATGGTGGGCGACGCGGAGGAGGAGAACGGTTAGCTTCGGCTGCAACGAGAGAACCGAGCAAGGTTGAGTGAGAACCGTACGTTCCTCCACCCGTAAATTGGCAATATTCATGCCGAGCCGCGTACACGGCTTTCGTGCCGGAGAGGAACAAGGACGAAGAACATTGGGTCGCGAGAGAAGCTGGTTGAACCGAAGACACCCCTTATCCCGCGAGAACCTAGACAATTCGTTGGTTCATTTTGTGGGGAGGTTACGCGAATTCGAAGAATTTCAGGGTGTGCGAGGAAAACGTCGAGAAGTAAACCCGCTTGATCGAATTGATCTTGTAAGAGCGCGCGCTACTTCTTCGCATTTCTTCCCGATCGATCACAAATTAATACATTTATTATGTCTATGTGTCATAAGTAGCGGTTTCTTCTCCTTTCGATTAAAGTTTGTTGTTGGCAATTTGGAAAATTTGATTGAAGTTATCTTTGTCCACAACTTTGATCAAAATTTGCTGAAACGAAAGTTACCGTGTTTCAAAAAATTATAATTATATTCCAAGTTTCATCAATTATCATTACAATGTAATATATAATCAAGTGTATCTCTGGAAAATATATGTAAGAATGCTCATTTCTCCACTTAATTAATAAAACATATGTTCAATCGCACGTGTCTTATCAATACAATGATATTTCAGCAGCGCGCCGGATAGCGGCAAATGGCAAGAACAAAGTTTGTTCGTACTTGCTTTGGTAAACCTTCAATTAATGTAAACTTCTGTCGGTAAAAATCGTTTTAAAATTACTTCGCACTCCCGGGCATGGCGCAGCCACGTCATCCCCCTCACGGCATCCTCTATATGCCCTTCTTCTTTCAGCTGAGCCCCGAGAGCGAGGAAAAGGAGAGACGGGGATGGGAGTGGGAAGGGAGAGGGTGGCTTTAGAAGTTTGAGTGATATTCCAACTTTTAAAATATGTCAAATTATTTTCCTTTCAGAAGAGCTGTCGTCTAAATACATTTCCATCTTTTTCGATGTATTTAAATACACGGGACTCAATCTACAACACAAATATATAAGGCTTTCGACGCGTGATTGGTACCTATGTATATATAAAAGACGACACACTCGCCTACGTTCGATTTCTCGAGATGAGACAGAATGAAATCTCGATTTTAAATGTCGCCTTTAAATGTATATAATATTCGAAACATAAAGCCCCGAAAAAATTATATTGGTGATAGATAAATTAGATCAATGTGAGAAAATGATCGTGCGAGAGATAAAAAGTTGAAATCTCCGCAACTGACGGGAAATAAGTGAAACATTTTCTAAAATTCACAGAGTCCCTTTTTTCCAAGGAGAGTACTTTTTCATTAAAATTCCAGACAGCACGTAAGAGCATCTTTCTAGCTGTATCATTTGATTTGTCGCGCGCGACAAAGAGAGAGAACACATGGATCGACGAAAGGCGCAATTTTCGCTCGCAACGCCAATTCACCCTGGAGGACAGATGCGGAGGAATTTTCCTTTATTTCGAAAGCCCTTATACGCGTTTATAGGCTAGGCGCGTAAAGCACGTCGACCGGGCGGCGCAAATAAGTAAAGAGGCGGACTGTGCACCTATGTAGATAAGTATGTACCTATCCACGCAATTACATTACACACAAAACGTCGACGACAACTCTTTGTGCCGGCTGGATATCAAAGCTCGAATACTGCCAGCTGAGGTCCTTCCCTCCCTCTTCATCCCTCTTTCTGCCACCCTTCTTCTTCTATATAGCTATATAGCGAAGCAATAGAGTTCTTTGCCTTTCCGTCACTCTATATCCGGCACTCCATTTCGCGACGCGGTTCTTCCGTCTCGGGCAAAAGTAGCCTCCTTCTCATTCATCCGCCGTTTTCCTTCACCTTTTCGCGTCCTCCTACGCGCATCTTCTTCATCCTCGACTTCGCCTCCCTCTCTAGTTCTCTATCTCGCGCGCGCGCTTCTATCCTTCCGCTCTTCTTCGCCCGGGGAAAATAATTTCTTTCATCGCTATCCCTCTTCTTCGATTTCTCTTTATGTACCAGACAATAGAATGTTCCTTTCTCGGAGCACGCGGGCATGCTGATTCGACGAACGACAATAAATCGTCTGCGAAAGACGACGATTTCGACTGACATGATTATTTATTTGTTCGCGCGTATGCTATTTCTCTCGCTATAACATATATTTCCTTAAAAAAAAAAAAAGTTCTTTATATTTCGATCCGGAATATAGCAATTACGAAGGGTGAGGGACAAATTAAAGGGTATATAACTTAAATATGCGCGTCAAAGCTTGAGGTCGTCGACCCTAATTCTCGACAACGTTCCGGAACTTGGAAATCTCGTACCGAATCAATTTGAATTAAGGAGTCCAAGAGAGAGAAGAACGGAAATGGCAACCCATAACGGCACTGGAACCTATGCATGCGAGAAGCAGTTAGCTTTATTGCAGCGCGCGGGAGTTTTTAATATCGCTTTGGCGCGGACGCGTCTGCCAGCTGACAAAAGGAGAAAAAAAGGAGGCGTTAATGGAGAACGTTTTCGCTCTAACGACCGTGGAGAAAAGGAAGGGGGTGGGAACGGGCCAAGACTACGGGACATCAGCCGGGACTGCGTAAAAGGGTGGACGCTGGCGCCTGTCCGCTGCCCACCAGACATGCTCGCCAGACCGTATGGTTTTTATGCGAGGAGAAACGGAAAAAGAGAGGATACGCTAAGAATGCAGAAAATTTTCTCGTTCCAGGGAAGTTGGCGAAGACGCGAGCTTTAATCCGCTCAGATCAGTCTTAAGACCGTTAGCGAATCGTTGCCACCATTTGTTCCTCTATATCCCGCCTCGAATTTTGGATTTTAGAATAACAGATATCTTTCTCTCTGCACCTTCTTCCTTTTCAAATTATATAATTCAGCAGAACATATAGTGAGATTGGAAAATTTTTCATTCCTTACGGAAATGTATTAAACAATTTTAAACAATGTAGACATTTTACTTAGTTAACTCTTCTACTAATTACGAGATTTAAATTAGTATATGAAAGAAAATTTCTATTTAATTATATTTTAAAAACTTGTACGAATTAAACAAAAAATTAATTAAAATTTAGATATAATCTCACTGAAAGCTTCACAATAACTGCAAAACGTTTTAAGTAAGACCAAAGTTCAGATTGTACCAATTAATCCAATTAAGTTTTATTTTTATGGTAAACATATATTTTAAAGCATTTCAAATAACGGGAATTAAATGCATATCCTATATATGCGAGATCGGAAATATATATTTGTTTGATCTTAAAATCCTCCGGCTTTCACCCTCTTAAAATAAGAACGAGGGAGAAAAATTCTTAGTAGAAGAGAGAAGGGGCTTGAGCGGCTGACGGTTTTCGAATCCAATCCTGCTATGCAGATTAATGAAAGTATTCATGGAACTTAGGCCGCTCTTGTTAACTTCTATTTTTTTTTTTTTTTTTTTTTTGCGTCTTCCAAAATCCCCTCTCGGTTTGATCTGTCGATACTGTCAACAAAATCGTCTATATCGTATCTAACTGTACTTTGACAGAACGTCCGATTTTGTCGAACTCTCGACTCACAATCGATTATAAAAAATTATGCATAGTTATATAAATAGATATAAATAGATATGCAAGTTTAGCCCGCAGTGACGTAAATAATAGCTACCGCGCCTACGATTTCCTCGAACCGTTTAGATTCTCGGCTAACTATGCGGGAAATACCTGCTAGCAATTAGTCAGTACGCTAATGTCTTCTAGTTACTTCGACCGCGCAAGAAATTGGCGGTAGAGTAGCGGCATTGTCGAGGAACAAGTAGAGAAGAACGCAGCGTTAATGGGTCTAACGTTGTCACTAGCATTATATACGATAATGAAATATGTTTTTTATACGCTTCACTATTCTTGCGACCGATTTAAAACTAGTAGACGAATAAAGCTGAACGGAAAAAATTTTAATTAATTTCTCTCGAATATTGAAGAATTTTTTATACATGTAATATCTGTCGCGCTGAATTATAATTCCTTTAATATGTTCGACATGTTCGAGATATTCTTAAAAAAGAAAGAGAGAAAAATGAATTCAAATCTCATAAAATGCTGCATAAGCTACAATAAGTTAATTCCAAAATTTTTGACGTCACCGGAAAGAAATTATTTGAAAATATTTCAACGATATTAAAATACAACAGTATGCATTGCTTTCAATTCGCACGCTCAGCTTATACATTCAATTAAAATTCCCTAAACACCCAGCACACATTTGCGATAGCACACCTCGAATTTACTCGTCAGATATGCTTCGTACTCTTTGCTTCGGTCTTCGTTTACATCTCGTTATACGTGCTAGGGAATATTTATTTACACCCTTTCCCCGCCGCAGCATGCTTCTCATACTGCGAGTTTCTCGAAATTATCATTGCTGGCTTGTACCTTCGTATATCCAACATTAGGGTATACCAGAGACGAAAGAGATGCCTCTTACCTTCGTTATCTACATAGACCGCAAAGCATCGAATGAAATTTTCACCTTCGTATGCCGACGCGCGGAAAATAAAGTGAGAAAAAAAAAGGATAAAAACTTACTTCCACGCTGACTTCTTATTGCCGTTCCTGCGATTGCGATCGGCTATTTTACAGCAAACAAAATCATTGCCTCTTACCTACAACATAAAAAGAAAATATACGTTACATTATAATCTATTGCTCTTTTTCTCTACTTACAAAAATGTTTTTCAACTATTTTCTAATCTTAAACTGTATAAACAAATATATTTATACATACATTCGTAAATTTAAACAAATATTTTAAATAATATTTAAATATAAGAAATCTTAATTTATACCGTAGCTAAGTAATTCTTTGAACCGTATTTATTTTTTTTTTTTAATTTATAACCGAGCACTAAAATTGAATCTATGTTATTAATTAATATGGTGATACAATCAATACATGTATGTGTTAATATATATGAATTTCTATCTCTTTTAAAATTCTATTGACTTTTATTAATGCAAATAGTATTTCTCATTAAAAAATTATGCAGAATTTAGAATGTCCATAAGTACATGCCTATGCATTCCATATTGCTTGCAACAGTGTTTCTATGATTTGCTTATTGTAAAAAAAAAAAAAAAACATGACAACCAATAATTACAGAAACCCATAAAGCAATTAGCGTTTTGCGTATTACATGTTTGATCGATAACGACCAAATATCTTTTTACAACATGCAATCCCGATAATTAACAAGTGCATAATTGTTATTATCAAAAACGGAGACCAATAATGACATATCAAATAAGCAATAAAAAAAAGCAAGAAGGGAAATATACTAAACTCTTTTTTTTTTCTATTCAATAATCACTAGAATGTTCACAATAAGTCTCTGCAATAAGAATAATTAATAGTAGGATATTTAATGTTTTATTTATATACATCATATGTATGATGTAAGAAATAAAGTGCAGATTAAAAACAGATATATAATAAAGTTGGTACAAACCAAAGTTAAAGTAAACTGACGATTTATTAACTAGAAAAGCCACATATCTATTTAAGTTTAAAGCTTTCGCGATGCTAGTGGAGCGATAATTATATTACAAATAAATTATTTCAACATTATAATCTCGATCTCTCACAAGAATCTTAGTATAGACAATTTATACGATATTTCGTAGTATATTTTTGCATATAAAAAGAAATTCTTATTCAGTTCAATATTGTCGATCTGCTAGCACCTATCAACCGAAAGTATCAAAACGCGTTCCGCTAAGTATTAAAACATTATTCGTGAACATTATTCGCGTTGCCGCAGAAACTTCCTCTTAACGTTTCGCGGTAGATAAAATGACTACCACGGGCAACTCCTTAAAGGAAACAGTCGAGCCATCCGTTACGGGAAAAAGCATTCGCGACTCTGCTGATACGTACAAGTAGGCGAGTGGAAGGACAGACTTATTTACCGCCGCGGCGCAGAAGGAGAGAGAAAGAGGGCCATTTGTATTCATATGAAAATATTATCTCGCCGCGCGTCGCGCCTCTTCGGGATCGCTATTCGGTTTGCATAGATACTTATGCATGAAGGCAACATCACTCGGCATTGTTATGCAACCCGATGTAGATCCTCAATATAGATCCACGCTCGAGGTTTCATTCCGATTTGAAGAGCTCCGTACTCCTTCGGAGCATTCAGGCACACGCATACATACATACATATTCACACACACACACACACACATTCTTACACGAGACGGAACTACTATATCGAACTCGTCTCCCTTCATCCCCCTCTTGATCGTATTACCGGCTGTCAAAACGCTAAGATTACTGCTTCTTCATCGCAGATATTGAATTTTAAATGTCTGGCATATGGATCTGTTAACTGTTGCTATATTTCATTTCTTTCGCGTTTTGCGCAAATAAAAGTTTTTGCACTAAATTATCTAAATATTCTCGCATAATAATTTTGTTAGAAAAATAATATTACTCTGATTAATATAAAATAAATATAATTTTTCACATTTTCTCCAATTTATATTCTACATATATAAATTGTAAAATATATTTAGTTTGTAACAATTGTGTAATTTTACATACTGTCGCCTGAAAAATTATGACAAGTACGTGCGTTGTGAATTAAGTCCTTGAAAATCTCTACTATGTATTTCGTCTTGAAAGATTTATAATATGTGCGAGAAGCACAATCTGCGCCAACTTCTGTAGCTAACCAGTTCTTCTTGCTAAGTTTATGATCGTATATTTTGCTGTCAAGATGTAAGAGTCCGATTGCTATCTCGTGTGCTCTACGTAAATAACGTTAAATCTTAAAATTTTTTAACATTGGATAATCTTAGATCTGAATTTTTCAGTTAAAAGAAATATTAAGAAATATATCGAAATTCTAAGAATCGTACAGGAAGAAGATCAAAACGAGAAAGAGAGGAAAATGAAAAAAGTAAAAAATTGAAAAGAGAATATTATTGAAAAAGTGCAAAGTTGTAATGTGAAATCCAATTTATAATTATTGAAAAAAGAAAGTGCTATAATTGCTGTAGAATTCGCATTAACAACATCAACTAAATCGACTATTCGCATCTTACTCCCTTACTTCGTAGATTGCATTATAAATCACGAACCTATCTGCGAGCCCACTTATAATCGAAGGAATTTCTATTATCCGAAGGTATAAAGTATATTAAACGCAATGTCTAATATACTTTGTAATATGCTCGAGAGAGCTTCGTCTGACGAATTCTAAACACACACCATTGAATAAAAAATTCTTACAATGCATTTGTATATTTTTTTACATTTCTTCTATTACAACATATGCCAAAATGGCATATGACAAAAGCAACAAGCTGAAAATGAGATAAGAGATTCGATAACTATTCGTATATAATATCGTCTAAAATAAATTGTAATATTCGCGGTAATTAATATGCAACTGTGCCCAAGATGCAGCAGCCGTCGCAGTAAGATTAATCATATATAAAGTTCTCCCGATGCTTTCAATGGGGGTATAACCGGTTTCGCTAACCGAGTTGCACGACGACAAAGCAACCCACGCCGAAGATAAAGTGAATACGGAGTGCATATCATAAACATATACTTACATCTCCGCACACATTACCACTGTTTGCACTTCATCGCCCTATACGTTATTATCCAACTTATCTTGTTATAAAGTACATAATCGGGGACGCTTGAGAAATAATCGAGCTTTATAAAACACCGTGACGAACATCCGTCTAACCGAAAAACCTAATTCCTAGTTTCTAAATGCAGAGACAATATTTTAAGCATATACGATCATCGTAGGACATGTGAAAATGCAAACGAATAATTAATATTTTTTGAGAAAAATTGTATACGTCGTGAAATAATACACACGACTATTTCTCCTTTAAAAACCCAACATCACAATATTGTTATTGAACTTATATCGCAATCTACAAGAGCGCGAAGTTAGTCGACCTCGGGATATGCCCGGGTACACCGAGACGTACGAGACGAAATTGGATATCAATTATCCCGGGATGATTATAACGTAAGCCGGGTGGGTCTTGGGCGAGCAAACAAACCGTTAGGATCGTCGGTAATTGGGTGGAAATTATTGCGTTCTCTCTCTACGTATTCGGCTCTTTATCGCTCGCGCTGTTTCGCGCTATCCACCTTCTCTGTCTCTCTCGCTTGTTTAGCAAGACGACGACGACGGCGACGGTGCGGCTATAATTTTCTCTTAGGAAGTAAATTTCATTAATGTAGCTGGCCTAACCGCCGAGAGAGGAGATCCCCTACGCGATAACGATGCCGAAACCGGCTAGAGGCGATTGGCCGGCATATCGACCGGTCATGTAATAAAAACTAGTAGCCATCGACCAATTTTTCTCTTCGCGCAATTTCTTTCACGCTTCCTTCTCTCACATTTTACTGCATGCTCAGTGTAATAATGTCAGCTGACGACGCTAGACGTTCGAATGACAATCGTTACAAATAATTGGCGAATTTACTTATGCAAGCACGAATATTTCGATGAACAATTCAGGCGTGCGTTGGTAAACAGAGAGCTATATATATAAGCGAATGCCCAAAAGTGGGAGAAGGCACAGGTGTGTGCGAGAGACGGCAACATTTATTGGACCCTCGCATGCCAGTAAGCAATCAATAATTACGCGGAGCTGGATTAATGTACAGACTGCGACGAAAGCATTCGCCGATGACCGCGTATTAACCGAGATTTTCATGCAAAACGAATGAAAAAAAAACGCGCCATTTGATATTCTTCAAGATTAAAGTACCTTTCTCAAGGTTAATCGCGCTCCACCAGAGAAATGCATGCGCGATAAGCCGTATCGTGACCGGAGTCATTTTTTTTTAAACTACAATTCAACCAACAATTCAACTCTAGACCACTGTGTTCGATAATAGCCGTTTACTGCGCAGCGCAACAATTTATTTGTCGTGGGGCGAACTATATTCTATTTTTATTGCTTTAATAACGTATGCGCGATTCGTGCTCCTACGTCAGAATATTATTGTACCGTTATATACAAGAATGCTGAGAATAAAAATGACCACTAAATTATTCAAATCTGTCAAACTTCATTCAATAGAATCAATGAGACATCTGTTATCGAAAATTTATTTTCACGGGAGAGATCGACGATAATTAATGTAAAGTGAAATGACTGCCATTATAAACTCAGGGTTCTTAAGAAATGCAGGATGCCTTTTCTGGATTCTCGCAAAGAATCTTCTTCTTCTTCTTGCGGTCCGTTTTAAAGCGTCCGTCCCATTGAACGTCGTCAAGAACTTATAACAATTCGCAATTGTGAAACTCCTTCCAAAAAAAATTATCAGTAATATAACTATCTTTTAACCAATTATATTTCACAATAATAATTGAAAACAACAATAAAAAATGAAAAACGAGACTAAAATACATGACTACTCTCTAAAAAAAAAACAAAAATAATAATTCCTGACGTGGTAATCATAGCGTAAATTTGCGAATTAATGCACTGAAAAATGTCAGAGAAGAGAAAATCTATAAAAACATATATACGATATATAGGACGCGTATGTTTATCAAGGATGAAATAAAGACAAATGATCGACATCGGAAAGAGAAAGAGGCGACGTAATAAAAACGACCAG